GCCTAGAATACCTTGGTTTTTCAACTTATCGCGACACTTGCAAGTACCCTCAAGAAGACTGTGGGTAAAGAGGCGGAGTTTTTGTATGGGCGGAGTCTTTTAAGAGAAATGCGCCGCTCAAGCTTTCTTGGTCAACTTGACTCAGCAATACTTATTTTCACAGTCTTTGTGCTTACGGAATTTGCTCTATCGTGTTTAAAGGCAGCGATTACGATAGATTCGAGAAGGGTTCAAGGAGACGTGATGGTGCTCAATGGTACGCAGTGGCGAAAAAAGCTGAGAAATCCGTCAAGAAAACGCAAAACGGGACCCCTTTTTTGGCCGTTTTTCACTCATGAACAGGTAACAGCTCAGAAAGCGGACGTATGAACGAGTTCACCGCAACGCGTTTGGTGGCACCATGCCAAACCACGCTCCAATCGAGTTGCTCCAGTTGTGCCGCTGCTGGCAACGCAGCTCGTCCAAATCACCAACTAAACTAGTGGGCGGATCGCTTTTGGGGGCGGAGTGCTTTCGAAGTCCTGCTCAGCAACCAGCGCACCTTTCGTCGTGAAAGCGCCACACCTCGCTTCCTTGGCAGCCAAGTAACTGCTTCGTGTGGTGCATATGCTTCCCCGATGCGCTTCCTCTTTATCGTAATCGCTGCCTTTAAGTTTGATTCACTTTTTTTTTACGGAATCTGCCCATATCTTTCGCCAAAACTTGATCAGCCATCAGATTTACTCTACCATCCGAAATTAACAATAATTTTCGATAGCCTTCTGCAGAGTTCTTTGTAAAAAAGTACATGAGTACGATACTTGGATAAAAAAAGACTCACTGATGAAATGATACGTTTTCCCAGGTTCGAATTCCATTCCTCCGGGTGTTGGAGTGAATTGTCGAAACACGACGGTTATGGTAACCTGAACGATCGGGTTTTACTCTCCTTTGAAATGTCGTAATCGAATATTTTTATCTTCAACTTCGTAAGTTTAATGTTCCTCACGTCTTGAGTATTGTTGTTGCATGAGCCAACCAAATGAGGGTTTTGCAGAAAGCAGTGTGTGTATTCCTCTTCAGACACCTGAAAATGGTAAACTTATAAGCCTGTTGAAATGTTTCAACAGTAGGACAAAAAATTGATTAAAAATACCAGATATTTCAACAAAAACATAAATCTTATCTATCAATGCACAATCAAAGTACACATGCACATCTTCTAAGTAAAATCAGTGATGTTGGCTACTTCCTCTCACACATGGTCGATATTGGCGTCCCAAACCTTTTAACAATATAAATAAATTCAAGCTCATAAAAGAAGCAAGTTTGACATCAAATCTCCTGACGAATGGATACTGTAGTTTTAGTGATATTTTAGTGATATTGCTCAAGATAAGTAGGCGAGCACTTTGTTAGAAAATAAAATTTTTCACAAAAATTCTGGGTTGTGAACAAAACTTTCGCACCAGAACGGGGTTCAACCCCCACCCGCTCGTTTTTCCCGGACCAGTGCGCTCAGCAGTAACTCTATCCGGGCAGCATTTCATTCGCAAAACCTAGCCTCTTTTTTTCATTTCATTTTTTCATAAAAATTTTTCAACCTTCGCTATTCTCCTAATGGGTTGCACCATGGATTTGACTTCTACTTATGGTTAGAACTGTGAGGCATTTGGAAGTTCACGGAACCATATCAATGAACTTCCCCCCGGACATGTTTTTGCAGGAACCTTCAAAGGCTCCAGGAGCAAGGATACTATTGAAATCGCCAATGCATTATACTGTTCAATCCAGAAATCCTTATATCCTGGTGATTCATCTTATAGACGATCTATCAGCGAAATGGGTTGTGAGTTGTGGCAGACTTCCCTATTTGGGCGACAGGACTGAAATTCGATCCACAGGGTTCGATAGTGCTCCTGCTGATACATTTGTTCTACTTGTCTCTCCCTCCACATCGCTGATACCGTACATAAGAGCAGAATGATAAAACGTTCGGCGTTGCTCAATCTTCTCCGGAATGCGCCACGCGCTCTACTTCCAACACCAGAGTTGTACAGCATTTTTGTGGGTTTCGCCCCATTATGATGACCTTCCGGGTCAGCCCCGCCCCCCACATATACAATTCAGTGTTTTCGCCTTCAAACATGCTCTTTTCCATTCCGATAAATGAGGAAGGTGGGGCTTGAATGGCTCCGTCCCGGTACGACCTAGGATTCGATTCTGGGCGTGGTAAGGAGCGCGACTTGCCACGACTCCGCTCCACCCATGGTCGATTGATACTTTCAAGGTTCATTATAATTTGCCTATCTGTATGAAATCACAAATTTCAACAAGTTCAACTTCAGCCGCTCTTCGCAACACAATACGCCAGCTTTCGTTTAAATGTCCACGGCCTCCTCCCCTTGTCCCTTGCGCCTCTCCTTCATCCGTTACAGCTTTTCCCCACAGCAAGTCGCCATATATTCTCTAATGAGGCTTGCCCGCTGTCGATTTTGACAACACTAAGCTGTTCCGGCTATCGTCCAGTATAAATCTGTTCGTGGGCAGCAGTTGTCATCGGTTCGTTAGGGTGTAATTGAATTTGAAACGCATGTATGCACTCGCGCTGCTGGACATGTTCACTGAACCACAATGTGATTTTGACCCTCGGACGTTTTTTTTCGCGCGAGATCCTGAATTGGATTTTCAGCCATCGACTTCACATAGGAGATTTCAGTTGAAATTCAAAAAAATATATGCAAAAATTGTTTAGTAAGGAACTGCGCCCAAGAAAAAGCGGTGGAGAGTGAACAGTTTCTTATGAGATGCACAGTTGCAGGAGGGTTTGAGAAAATCAGATAGAAGGTCTGAAAAAAGAAGCTTTCTGCTTGCAACAGAGCACATCGGGATCAGTGGCAAATAAGTAAGCCTCGTCAGAGCGCATTCATCTCACAGAAAGTTATTGTTGGTAGGCTTTGCCGTCAGAAAAAAGCGCGATTATGCATGCTCTGGTTCCCGCAGGCGGTCCGGTCGTAATTGCAGACTCGTTGTCACACGAGGCGATGGCTTCAAAAAAAATCCAATACCAGATTTAGTTCCGACTGTTCTCGATACCGTGAAGCCAGGCGTATTATTAACACTGAGTGTGCAATTACGACGGACTGCAGAAAATAGGTTATACCATCAAATTTTGCTTACTTGGAGAATTACTATTGTTGGGACCCTACGAAAAATGTTTAAATGTATCCAGGTCTATGTGAACGATGTGAAATTTCCTGTGGATTGTGCTTTCTGAAGTTGAAAGATTTTGATTATACTGCTCCTCGATTGAGTAGCACCAATCTACGATTTTTTCAGGGAAATAGATGATACGAGAAAAAAATTATATTACGTGAGCCTGTTGCAATTTGCTGAGCTTACATCAGCTTCTGCTCTTCTCAGCGTTTAGTAAAATTAAAATACCAAAACCATAAAGGGGAATCGAGAACGCTTTCCAGTCCCCCGAGTTCCATTGCGCCAGTATGGTTACGGACCTCGGATTTGATGGATAGCTCCGAGAGGCTAATCAAGACGATCACGATCGTTGAGGTCAACATCGTGCTCCTCTCAATCATATTACCCTCTCGATCTGGTTATGTAACACAACATCGCGACGTTCATTAGTGCCATGTCGTTGCGCATAAGGAATGCCAAAACAAGGAATTTGTCGATCTAATCGATACAGGAAAAAGAATAATCTATTGATTCCAGCAGTTTATGTAGTCCAGGCTACCCTCTAAGTAAGCGTTGGTAAGCAATATTAGAATTTGGGACGATAAATCGAATGCAGCAGTGATAGCTGGAGAAAATTCGCCCTGTATAATGTATAATTTCATTTGACAGCAATCTGTTGTAACTGCGTGCGTCGGTGCGTAGCGGTTGGGTTATCAGCGCCCGATGATTGAAAGGTGAGGCAATTTGCGTGGCTGACCTATGAATTCATTAAAATCGTGTGCAAGAGTTTGAGTTCCCAGAAGTGCCAAAACCAAGGAAAGGCTATCGCAAGATACGTGGGCACCTTTCTAACGACGGCCTAAGAGGGCAGAAATTTGGGGGAGGCGGGTAGTGAAAACTGCTGATACCAAAAGTCTCTCTGTCGGGCCTGAGGCTTAGTCAAGATTTCAAAAAAAAAGGAAGGGGTCTACGTGGTTTTTAAATGAATTGCTACCACAATGCCCCGTATCTTGCGGTAGCACCAGCATCCATGGTTTTCCTTCAAGCGACCTACTTGGATGTTATGAGAGACTAAGTGGAGATGGACGAGGCTTTTCTTACACCTCATAAGTGTGGTAGCTCTACAACCACCTCCAGGATGCATTTGTTTTTATTCACCAACTTCTGAAACAATATGTGATCAGGAATTATAAAGAATATCTACCTCAATACACATAAATTGAGTCTCACTTGAATGAAGTGTGCTTCACCATTTTCGATAAGTCCTGATATCCGAAATGGTAACATTGACGAATCATCACTACAAGAGCTGTAATCTACCGATCTTAGACCATGTTTACAAATCTTATAGACAAGTTTCCAATGCTATATGACTTTATCTTACAAGGGAAGGATACCAGGTCGAAGTGGCCATTTGTAACGAGTTATATACACACCTGATGTGTTTTTGGGCGCTGATCTCGAATCTGCTCTCCAAATCTGCGAAACGATCCTCTGGACGTAGTTATGAAGCGCGATAGTGCAATGGGTCTTCACGAGTTTTCAGCTGCTTTTCTTGAAACGTTGTTCAAAGAACTCTTATGCATGCTAAATCATCAACGACTGCCTATCCTATAAGAGGAAAGAGCTGGCAAAGAGCTTCGAACACTGTGCGCGTCATTTGCCGTGTCCGTCGGTCGTGTAAGCGAACATTTCGACTTTAGGTTCAAAATTTTGGATTTGGACCGAAATTTGTCACAAGGGGTACTTTGATGCGCCTGAAACACGAAAATCACATCTATATGGCAAGACAGTGCATGACGGGTGCCAGAGACGGTCATTCTGCAAATGACGCACACAGTGTTCTAAGCACTTCGCCAGCTCTTTCCACTTGTATGATTGGCAATCGCTGATGACTAAGCATGGATAAAAGTTCCTTAAACAATGTTTTCAAGAAAAGCAAAAGTAAGAACTCGCCAAGAAGTCGATCCACGACCTCTTGTTCGTCGGCCCGCCGCTGCCACTGCACTATCTCGCTTCATAACTACGTTCAGAAAATCGTTTCGCAGATTTGGAGAGAGCAGATTCGAGATCAGCGTCCAAAAACACATCTAGTGGTGTATGTCTCGTTACAAATGGCCACTTCGACCTGGTAAACCCGCCCCCCCCACATGACTATTTTTAGAGAAGAAGGACGCGAGAAGGCAGAGCTGACTGAGGTGAACCTTATACACATGATTCCTACCAGTTTCCCCGTCAGTAAAGCTCCGACTCAGAATGTAAGGGTAGAGCTGCTATGGAGGAAGGATAAGGCACAATGGTGAAAGTAATATTTGAGAATTTCTAGGATGGAATGAAGTACAATCTTTTTTGCTCCGTTTGGTTCGAAGATTCAACTTCGGCTCCAACGATCGCAGTAAAAGTGTGACGAATCAAAGAGAAAGAAAGTACGAAGAACGAAGTAA